CTTTGGACTGAAGACTGCAGTGTGGACTCCTGCTGAAATTTCCAGCCTGCTGTCATGCCTTGTGCATATCAGGATTTCAGATTTGCCAGCCCCCAATTCCTTAAAATCAATCTCTCTCCCTCCCTCTCCTTCTTTCTCCCTGTTGGTTCTATTTCGCTGAAGAATCCTGACTAATACTAGTGCTCAATTAATGATATGTACTCTTGTTACCATGTAATTGAATACTGGCTATTTATTGCCTGAAACCAGCCTTAGCCAGAACTGTTAGATGGTGTTGTCTCTTTCTTCTGAAACATGGAGATTCCCTGGTGTGGGAAGGGGGTGTCTTGAATCATAGGGCATAGAGCCCCAGAACTGGGGCTGGGAGGCCTGGTTTTGGCTCCTGGCTGTGCCACCAACTCACTGTGTGATCTTAGGCAAGTCCCTTGCCTTCTTTGGCTTTTAGCTTCCTAAGTGGGTTGGGCTTAGTGATGCATGAGAAGGTTTCTATCTCAGAGCCTCTGAATCTAGAATTTCCTCTGATGCTTCCATGTGCAGAGCAGGTTTCCTACCATCCTGTTAATTTATTACTGGAGTTTGGTTTCTGCTTCCTCAGTAGTTGTAGGTTGGGGCACTTGCCCTTTTGCTCAGGAGAGAGACTGAGTGACTGAATCATGACTGCCCCATCCCAGCTAAAAAGGATGCTTCAGACCTCACACCCAAGCCTCTAGGGACAGGGGCCCTGGCTTAAGGGAAAACTGCACTTCTAGGGGTCTTTCCTGCTGGGATCCCCTTCCCAAGTCTGCTCAGGTGCTCAGGGACCTTTCTTTCCCTGACAGTTTGCCCTGAACAGGCAGAGACCACACAGAACTGAATGCTCTTCCACAGATTCAGGCGTGAAAGAAACAGCACAACCTGTGGTTCTCTTCAGTTCTGTCTAATCCCCTCACCTTGCCTAGTGTCCGGGGTCTTGGTACATCAGTTCTCAGAAGTTACCGCCAAATTGCTTGCTCTCCCAGGCTGCATGGTCCCTTTGGGCCTGACATCTTTGCTTTGTTGTTGCCATGTTGGTGAAGCTGGGAACCTGTTTCCAGGTCACAGGTGTAGCCTGTGGTCATCCCCTCTGAGCATCTATCTGCTGCCTCCTTCAGGGAAACTTACTGAAACTTAGAGTCACGGAGACTTTCCTGTATGTGGGAGCTAAGGGTACTCAGCTCTGACTCCAACTTGGATGGCTACGTTCTCCATCTGCAGGATGCAAGACCTTGACTTGCTGCAAAACTGCTGGTTTTTCTTGTTGCTGGGGTTGCCAGGCAACATTTCAGGAGAGCTCACACATTGCTTTCACCTTATACTCAGGTCTGCCCCGCCCCCTGGTGGAATTTGGCTGCCAGAGAAACCACTTGAGAGTGGCAACTCTTCACTGCCATTGCTGCCCACGTCTGTGATGACTGAGAGGCTCTTCTCCTGTCCAGGGGGCATCAACCAGCCTCTCAAAGCTGCAGACCTTGAGGATCCAGGGGTCCACACAGTTGTGGTCTCCTTGCAGCCAGACAGCGACCTCAGCAGAGGTGGGAGGTTGCCCCCTCGCTTGCTCTGCATTGGACCTGGTGACCTGGGCACAGATGTAGTGCTGCCTGTTGTTCTAGGCTCTTAGGACCCTCCTGAGGAGGACTCTTATGCCTCAGTCTATGGTTCCATAGGACCCTGCCATACATTCATGATGACCTAACTCTTAAGAAAGTTAGGTCATATTAGTTATGAGTTTGCTGTTAGACTCATTTGAAAAGACCCTGATGCTGGGAAAGATTGAGGGCAGGAGGAGAAGGGGACAACAGAGGATGAGATGGTTGGATGGCATCACTGACTCAGTGGATATGGGTTTGGGTGGACTCCAGGAGTTGGTGATGGTCAGGGAGGCCTGGCGTGCTGTGGTTCATGGGGTCGCAAAGAGTCAGACATGACTGAGCAATTGAACTGAACTGAACTGCTGTTAGTCACATATTAGTCATGAGTCTGCGGTTCACAATTGATGGAAACTCAACTCAAGCTGCCTCCTTGGTTTTTAAAAGAAATTTATTTGTTTATGTCACTGAAAACTCATTGCAAGTCTTCAGGTATGGCTTGAACCAGGAACTCAAAACAATGTGGTTGGAATTCGGTCTCTTCTGTTTATTCTGCTTTCCAGTGTGTTGGTTTCACTCTCAAGCAGACTTTCTCCAGGTGGGTGTCCTCATAAGTTCCAGGTTTATGTCTTCTCTAGAGCTGTCAGTCTTGGTGGAAAGAAAGCTTCTCTTTGCGCTCAGTGCCCGCACATTTCTGGAATTGGGTATCCTTGCCTTAAGTCACTTGTCTGCCATTGAAGTAACCCCTGTGGGAGATGGGGGGGGTGAAATATACATGCCCTCCCATGAGAGTGGAGACGGAAGTGTGTATTGCTCCATCTGAACTACTGGAATGAGAGCGAGGGAGAGTTGGCTCCCCCAGAAAAATCGAAGTTCTCTTAGAAGGAGAAAGGAGAACAAATGCCAGGAAGGCTCAAAATTTCAGGTGTGTTCTACATCCAGGCCCATATGCATCCCTGCATTGGGAGCAATTGAGGGTCATGCTGGGGTCCAAGTAGAGATGAGGGATGAGGACCCTTCAAATGAGAGGCACAGAGAGCAAGGACTGTGAGAGCTCAGAGGAGAGAGTGAACATACATGTGAATCACTTGGGACCCTGTTAAAATGTAGATTCTGATTCAAGGTCTTAGGTCAGTGCTTCTCAACCAGAGGTGACTTTGGCAGTACCCGGACATATTTTTCATTGTCACAACTGAGAAAGGGGACTCTTGGCATCTAATGGGTGGAGACCAGGGCTGCTGCTTAACACCCTCCAGCAGATAGGTCAGCGCTTCACAACCAAGAATTACCTGGTCCAGAATGTCAGTAGTGCTGAGGTAGACTGGAGCTCACAGAACCATGGGAGAGCATTCCTAGCAGAGGATGTGCCCAAGTGAAGGTACTGCAGGAGAAAGTATCTGGTCGATGGGGGCAGGTCATAGGCAGCCTGGCAGGTGGGGAGGGTACATGCTAATAGCCCTAAAACCAAAGATACCTGGGCTGAAAGGAAATCCTGAAGTCATCTACAACTTTGTGCCCTAGATATGCTGGAGCTGCCTCCTGTGAGCCTGAAGAAGAGACTGTAAGAAATGCAGCGCTTAGGCCCCACCGCTGCTTTTCCAAATTAAAATCTGCGTTTTTAACAAGTCCCAGGTCATTTGCCTGTACATGAAAGTTGGATACAGAGTGACCTTTAACAGCCCCTTCCCTGATAGCTCAGCTGGTAAAGAATCTGCCTGCAATGCAGGAGACCCCGGTTCAATTCCTGGGTCAGGAAGATCCCCTGGAGAAGGGATAGGTTACACTCCAGTACTCTTGGGCTTCCCTGGTGGCTTAGATGGTAAAGAATCTGCCTGCAATGTGGGAGACCTGGGTTCAGTCCCTGAGTTGGGAAGATCCCCTGGAGGAGGGCATGGCAACCCACTCCAGTATTCTTGCCTGGAGAATCCCCATGGGCAGAGGAGCCTGGTGGGCTACAATCCATGGGGTGGCAAAGAGTTGGACATGACTGAGCGACTAAGCACAGCACATAACAGCCCTTTAGGATGAGGAGACCAACCAACTTGCATTTTTTGAGCACCTACTGTGTGCTCAGATTTGAATAAGGAGCTGACTTACCAAGAGTGTAGGTTTGGCCACAGAAAAGCAAAATGAACTCCAAGGGTCAAACCTTCTAATGGGATGTGCCCAGCCTCACCATCCCACCCGCACCTCATCACACCTGCATCCCCACAGCTGAGGCCTTCCCATAGGTGCTGATCTGAGCAGTCAGTTTTTGTAACAAGTGACCCTGATTCCTTCCTTGGTCAGCCAGTTGGACCTAGGGTAGCTCGTGACCCTACGGTGGTCACTCCAGATGCTGGCCAGGTCAGCAGCCTCTGAGGTAGCTGTCTTGACAGGATGAGCAGCCCAAGCAGTCACTCTCTTGGAAATTGGGAGTAGGAATTTTCAAGAGAGGCTGTTAATTTGCAGTGGGAGTGGCCACCAAATCCAGGAGGCAAACCAGTGGCCCAAGGGAGCAGTTGATAAAGCAGAGGGATGGGGACTTGCAAAGGAAGCCAGAGTGGCGATGGTGGGGATGCTGGGAGAGATTAGGCAGCTGAGGAGAGAGACAGGACCAGAGAGCAGTGCAACCTCTGATCCGGACAGCAGTTCAGTCTCAAGACCACAAAACTGAACACCTTTTCTTTCCCTGGTCACTTCACAGTCTAACTAAAACACAGTCATTGGACAGTTTATGCTTAATTGCTTTGTTAATACTTACAAATTTAAAAAGAGATAATAATATTCCAAGTGGAGGGAGGAACTTTTCAAATTAATTTCACTTTAGCTCACATACATTAATTTATATTAATGAATACTTCTCCCTTTTTTAAACAATGAGGAAGATAAAGTCTCCCCTTCAGTGTTTTCTTTTCTTTTTAAAAATTTAGTCTTTTATTTGGTTGCATTGGATCTTCACTGCATCACTCGGGCTTTCTCTAGTTGCGACAGGTGGCAGTTACTCCTCTTTGCGGTGCACAGGCTTCTCATTGCAATGGCTTCTCTTGTTACCGAGCACTAGCTGTAGGCCCACAGGCTTCAGTAGTTGTGGCACAGGGGCTTTAGTTGCTTTACGGAGTGTGGGGTCTTCCCGAACTAGGGATTGAACCCGTATCCCCTGCATTGGCAGGTGGATACTTACCCACTATACCACCAGGAAAATCCTACATTTCCCTTTAAGATTATTGCGTTAGCTGCCCCTCTAACAGCCATCTCTCCCTCTCTTCCTTCTTCAAAGAATCCTAATTTTCTTCAGTGATGCAGGTAACTCAGATACTGCTGAGACCCTGGCCCCACTCCTGGGCAGACCACAGTTAGTCTGAGCCAGTCACAGTGCTCTCATCTTTTTTTTTTTTTCTCTCATCTTTTTGTCAGCAAATAGGAATAAGCATGTGGCTCAGTCCTGGCCCATGAGATGAGTGGGGAGTCTGCTGACGGTTTCTAGGTAAGTGGTCCAGATTCCTAAGAAAGAACCTGGAAGAAATGGTTCCTTTTCCCATGGACTTTTTAAAATAACATGATGCTTGGACCAGCTACAGTCTACAAAGGAGAAAGATAACAAGGAGCAGGACTCATACCCAAATCTTTGAATGGCTACTCATAGCTAGGAGCCACTAATCTCTGAGTCTTCTCTTTCATGAGATAATAAAGACCTCATTGTAAAAGTTCTTTTTTTAAAAAAAATCCAAAAACATTGTAATTGATGCAAAGATACAACAGGTTATTATTAATAACAACCAGATTACTATAATCCTGAACCAGTAAAGATTTTAGAAGCTGTCTACTAATACAATTCTGCTCTTAAGTTCATACAATGGAAAGGGCATGAATGTGAAGTCAGTTTCTCTCCCAGGGCTGCTATTTACAAGCTGGGTGACCCTGCATAAATTATTTAATCTTGGTCAGCCTCACTTTCTTCATAGAGTAAAAGGAAATAACATATAGGAATGGGAATTCAGTAAGATAATGTTGTATTATGTCTGGCACAGACTTTTTTATTGTTCAGTTGCTAAGTCATGTACATCTCTTTGTGACCCCGTGGACTGTAGCACGCCAAGCTCCTCTGTCCTCCACTGTCTCCCAGAGATTGCTAAAATTCATATCCATTGAGTTGGTGATGTTATCTAACCATCTCACCCTCTGCTTCCCCTTTCTCCTTTTGCCTTCAATCTTTCCCAGCATCAAGGTCTTTTCCAATGAGTCAGCTTTTCACATCAGGTGGCCAAAATATTGGAGCTTCAGTTTCAGCATCAGCCCTTCCAGTAAATATTCAGGGTTGATTCCCTTTAGGATTGACTGGCTTGAACTCCTAGCAGTCCAAGGGACTCTCAAGAGTCTTCTTTAGCACCACAAGTCAAAAGTGTCAGTTCTTTAGGGTTCAGCCTCCCTGGCTCAGACTGGGCACCCAGTAAAAACTAGCTCTTATGATTATCATTGAGATGAAAAGGGTATAATCTTTGCCTCAATAGCATCACAATCAAAGACTATGGAAAAGACAAACAGCCATTAAATACAAAGCAAGACCTGACAAATGAAAGGGCGTGAAGTTGTAGGAGTACAGGGACATGTGCTCAGTGGTGAGAAAAACTTGATGAACAAAAGGGGAGTTGGAATTGCAACTGATTTTTTTTGGCCGAGCTCCCCATCTTTTGGGATCTTAGTTCCTTGACCAGGGATTGAACCCAGGCCATGACAGTGAAAGCTTGGAATCCTAACTACTAGGCCACCAGGGAACTCCCAATAGTTGATTTTTATAACGTTCTGAACTTTTCAAATGCTCTGCAAAAAATCCATTGCCTAATTGCATAAAAGTTACTAAAATACTTTATACATTTTATTATTCTTCAACCAGTGTTCTCTTTTTATAATGGTGAAAAACTTAGGCCCATCCTAAATGGCAGAGTTAAATAATTTAGACCACATCCACATGGCTGAATATCACACACTTGTTAAATAGTTGTGAAATGTGTAGCAAAATGGAAAAATGAAAAGAATTGATTTGTTAGTGGTCAGACTTTGGATGACTGTTGGCTTTCCATCCTATTTTAAAGTTGTCGTGATTATTAGAATATTGTGTGTGCAATAAAAAAAGAAATGAGATGAAAGGAAATGTGTGTGGAAAAAAAAAAAAAAGAGAAGAAGTGTGAAGTTGAACAGGATTGGTTGCCAGGGTGTCCGGCTCTTTCCCAAGCACTGGCAGGCCCCCAGCACAGACCTTCTGTCGCCCTGGGGACACCAGGATGTGGCAGGCACAACCGCTTCATTTGGCTACCATCCCTTCTTGAGTAAGTGGTGTAAGCTTCAGTGTCCCCCTTGTCTGCAGAGGATATTAAGGCTGGAGGACTGATTGTGGCTTTTCTTTCTTAATCTTCTCATCAGTGAGGTTCTATACTGTTTGTTAAGTGAAAGTCGCTCATTCATGTCCGACTCTGACACCCCATGGATAGTACATGGAATTCTTCAGGCCGAAATACTGGAGTGGGTAGCTCTTCCCTTCTTCAGGGGATCTTCCCAACCCAGGGATCGAACCCAGGTCTCTGGCATTGCAGGAGGATTCTTTACCAGTTGAGCCACCAGGGAAAACTGAATCCGAAGGAGGAGAAAACCAGGTCGACCTGTTTTCCCTGAGCAGCTGTGTAGGGCCTGGGCTTAGGTGCTGTGTAAACAGGTAAACGGGAAACCTTTTCCTCTCCACCTAGGGAATCCCTGTGATGCTTTCCCCCGTCAGGGAACACTTTGGCTAGGCCCATGTCCGAAGTCTGAGAGCCCTTTGAACTTACTTCCACTGAAGAGCGAGGGGCCTGTACCTGCAGTTTTGGACCGCGACCTGAGCCCTGGTGATTCAGAAGGTAAAGAATCCCACCCCCCCCCACCAGAATGCAGGAGACCTAGGTTCAATCCCTGGGTTGGGAAGATCCCCTGGAGAAGGGAATGGCAACCCACTCCAGTATTCTGGCCTGTAGAATCCCCATGGACGGGGAAGCCTGGCGGGCTACAAGTCCACGGGGTTGCAAAGAGTAGGACATGATTAAGCGACTAACACACAGCCTGAGCCCGAGTGCCGTAACGGTGTAGCTACAGGCGCGGGGCAGCCAAGCAGCGGAGGCCAGCTCTGGGGACAACCAGGGTCGGCTCCAACTTCTCTCTGGGGCCATCTGTAACGGGGGAGAGGGTGGGTCTCTGGATGTCGCGGCGCAGGGGCGGGTCAGCGTCAGTACCCTCGGCGGGACGGGCTCAGCGCATAATGGGGACCATGCCCGCCCTAATGCGAAGCAGCCGCCGCGCCCCGGCCGAGAGCCTCTGAGATAAAACGGAAGCGCCGCAAGAGGCGCTTTGATTCCAATACGAAACAAATTATTCCTCCCGGAATGGAACAAAACAAGTCAGAGTGGAGTCTCACGGCCGTCATTCCAACCCGCAAGGCGTCTGCCGGCGGCCGTGGGGCCTTACGACCCAGCAAAGCTTCGCAGGGACGGTGCACTGGGGGGCTACTCGCCCCCTGCACCGCGGCGGGGATGGGGATAGGAGGATCCTGGCCCACGGGGCTCCGAATCCTTCATGTCATTTGAGCACCCTGCTTCTGGATGGGCTGCCGGTTGAGCCGAAATCGCTCTCAGGCCAGTGGTCTTCCAACTTGGGCTAGGGAGTCCCAGAATCTTCCAGAGGGCTTGTTAAGCATATAGCCAAGCCCTACCGCACAATTTCAGATTCCTAGGTGCGGTAGGGTGGGGTTTGAGAATTTGCACGTCCCAAGTAATGCTGGTGTTGCTCGTCCAGGCACACCACTTTAAGAACCATCAGACAAATATGGCATTCAGATGGCTGAGTCCCCCAGAGGTCTACAGGGGGTCAACTATCCAGGAACTGCTCAAAGGACATCTGTCCAAAAGTGAACCAACCAAGTCCGGGTCCAAAGCTCCCTGGCTGGAATTTCCCAGCAGCCTGTGAGGGTAAGGCATCTCACAGGGCAACTGCCAAAGGCCTGAAAAAAATTGATACCAGTTCTGGCTTTCTAGGCAGCTTCTCTGGGTGATGCTTCTGTTCCAGCTTCTTGGCCTCTAGAGAAGTTCCTGGCCTCTGTGTTGTCCTGCCTGGGCCAGAGGTTCCTAGTAGGGAGTGTGTGTGGGGGGGGGAGGGGAGTGGAGTATGCGGGGTGATCAGGTGGGTACTGGAGAGGACAGGAGCAGTAATTCTTGCTGGGGTGATATCTCTGAGGCCCTGCCTGGCTTCATGGAACCCATTGAGAGACCTGGAAGAGTTAGACTTACCATGTCTGGGAAGAGTGCCTATACCCCCACTGATTCTCCAACTCCAGTGTGCAACACAGTCACCTGGAGGACTTGGATTGCTTCCCACCCCCACCTCCCACCCCTGAGTTGCTGATTTAATGGGTTTTTCAATAAGGTCCTGGGTGATGCTGATGATCTGGGTTCCACACTTTGAAAACCATTACACTAGGCTTTATTTGGCATCTCTAAACCCTTAGTGTAGGAAATGATAACCCATTCCAATATTCTTGCCTGGAGAACCCCAAGGACAGAGGAGCCTGGCAGGCTACAATCCATGTGGTTTCAAGAGTCAGACATGACTTAGCGACTAAAGAGAGAGAGAGAGAAGCCCTTAGTGTAGGGGCTTCCCAGGTGGCTCAGTGGTAAAGAATCCACCTGCCAATGCAGGAGACACAGGTTCAATCCCTGGGTGGGGAAGATCCTCTGGAGAAGGAAATGGCAACCCACTCCAGTATTCTTGCCTGGGAAATTCCATGGACAGAGGAGCCAGGCAGGCTACATGTCCATGGGGTTGCAAAAAAGTTGGATGTGACATTGACTAAACAATAACAGCAACAAAGCCCTTAGTGTAGCTGCAAAGTGGTCATGGTATGTGTGCTCAGCCCCATCCTCTGTACATCCTCCATCAGTCACTGGCCTTTGTGTTGACTACTTTTCCAGCTTTCAGAAGCAGTTTGGTCTTGCTCTCTGTGCTGTCTGGTTCTTGGGGCAGGGAACAGCTCTCAGGATGATTCAGGCATGGGAAGAGCAGCATTCCCCACTCCCATTCTTGCACACAGCCAGGGACAACAGCTCCCTTCTCCTTCCTGCTATCCCTCACCCTCTAGGTGTGCTTGAGTCCTAGCTGGGGTGGAGGCAGGGGCTGGAAAGGACCCTTTAATGTACTCCTTTGGATCCATGCAAGGCCAGGCCCAGAGGGGTCACTGTTGCTCTTCTGCCAGCAACAGAATGTCTGGGGAGTGATGCCTTCCCCTCCCCTGCTTTGTACATTATAGCGATTTATGAAATATTTGCTGTTCAGCTGATTAACTGTTTAGGGAAACTTAGCAGAAGGGGAAACAAAACAAAATGAAGACCTTCCTCAAGTTTTCCA